AGCTGCTGGGCTGCATCCCTGTCAATCAGCTATCGCATAGGTATCATCTGATATGGCTGGTTAATAATCAGCCATTGGTATCAGCCAAGAAACTTTTTAAAGATGCACCCCTAATATTTTTTGCCTACCTCTGACGGATGAAGTGTAGGTCACTACATGATTTAGAATATCTGACTAGGTGCCATATCTGGAGACCAGTTTATAATATTGTCATAGTTTGTAGTGTAGACAGGATATTCAACTTCATCCTGACATTGTCCTACAGCCTTAAGAATCTGTGACGTAACTAAGTCCCCAGATATTGTTCAGCTCATAGTGCCTGTTGTCTAATTGAAGGAATTCCTTTTTCTCTGAATAGCTGCAAACTCTCACACAGGCAAGAGAAAGGGCTGTGAATTGATTCTGCCCATTGGGCCCTTTTTGAAAAGAATTGCATGACACAATGAATATACAACAATCCAGCTATTGTTTATTCATCACACTGTGCAGCTATCAAACATTGATCTCATGGAGAGCTAAGGCATTTAGTTTTTTAGTATACAAAGCAGGTATATTTTAACAGCTGCCAAAAGTTCTGGTCCAGCCAGGTCAAGTGAAATCCAATTCTAAAATAAACCATCCAGAAAGTCAGGGGTGGAGTGAAGCAATATCATGGCATAATGTGACCCATTGGCTTTTGGTTGGTCCCTACAGACAGCAATCAGCGGAAGAAACCGTTGGAACAACGTTGAAAAGGTCTGCACGTCTGTCAACTTCAGAAAAGCCTGTAAGAAACATGAAGAACTAGGTGAGTGTTGGTGACCACAAAACCTTACAGGGGATGTGGAGGGCAGTGGAGGGGATAATGGTGAAGTATCAGCATAGCAAAGAGTGCACATGTAACAGAAGGTGGCAAACTGGAGTTGTCCTTTGTACCTTGGGACAAAACAAGCCACATCTTTCTGATTCAGGTCATCTTCACATTTTCAGAGGGCCACTTCCAAGGGAGAAAGGTATTTGATATCCTGTTATCTTGAGATTTCCAACAAAGGTGCCTTTCATGGTTGTTGTGTCTGCCCACTAGATGGAAACCAGCCACTTGTTTCTTTTAAGCAGAATAACAGTCATGAGCACATGGCACCCTTTAGTCTTTGACCAGGGATACAATGGTTGATATGAACATGGAAGGCTTCACATCCTATTAACTAGCTTGGGAGCCCCAAATTAAAAACAGTTCTGTGTGGCATATAGGTAAAATAAAAGTACTGCATGCCTGAGATAAACAGCAGAGGAGCTGGGCCATCAGTTTGCTCCAGAGCAGATTTTTGGCCTGTTGGTTACAGGACTGAGTCCTGTACTCTGTACTGTGCTTTTCACATCTGCCCTGGCGTAATTTTGCATTGGCTTTTTCTGAGCAAACTATAATTATATTTATATGTTACCCCAGGAGTGAGGCCCAAAGCTTACAGGTGGTGCAGAGAAGGAAATCTAGTAATCATTCCCTGTGCAACTTCATTCTTTCTGTCAGACATGAAAATAGGGCATCACGTGAGCAGCCAAGTTAGTCCAGGGCAATAGGGTCCCTGATTGCACAGTCGCATTGTTTCTGTGCTTCAGGCCATCCTGGGGCAGCCTGTATTCCCTCTTTGCTACAGGAATGAGGGTATCCTTTGCCCTATGTAGTTTTGGATGTCCCAGGCCATATCTGAATGCCCATCTGGGGATGGTGCAACCTGCTGCTTTCCAAGAAAAGCATATTCTTGGTATGGATGTTTTCTTCCTCTATGCAGTAGCTCATCACTGTTCTCTAGAGTGAAAGGTCTCTGGCTTTACTGGGCTGTGTGCTTTGTCCATCCTACTGTCAAATGGAGCTAGACCTCTCCAGTAAGCTAGTGGCTGACTTTTCTTCCTCCTTCTCTAAAACAGCTGGGTGTACGTTGTTTTTTATTTCTTAAATCTCTTTCTTTCTTTAGATCCTTTTTTAGTACAGTGTGCCCAGATCCCCCATTTTTAAGTGTAGAAGCTGTTCCGAGATTGTAGGCTTCTTAATTAGAAGCCATGGGTATTCTCTTCACTTAAGAACAAAACCACTATTGCACATACACATCAGGTTGCAAATATAATGAGACATTTTCAAGCAAATCTGTTCCATTTTACTGAAATGCTCTGTGCGGTGTTCCTGGCTATAAAACTAGGAATTGGGACCAGGGAACCAGGTGAATCAATATCCAGTGAACTGGAGCCTCTACACCTAAGCCTCTATACTGGTTCTCTCCCATCAACTTAGAAAGTCAACTCCCTCCCCCTTCTCACCCCACTCTTCCCTGCCCCCCCTTCCCACAAAGCTAGTATTGCCATTATATTTTTCTAACCATTAGCAATATGCTATTTGTAAAAATTACATTATTACCCATTTCTATCCTAATTCTGGAGCTCATCTTGCTGTTCTGCCTTACAATTTGGGTTAATTCCAAGCATCTTTCTATAGGTAATGTAACATCTAGGAAGATTTTTTTTCCTAACATACCTTTGAAATACCTTTCCAACATACTGGGATTACCTTCTATTTTTAAGTGGAAGAATGTGCTTTCCATATAAACCAGTTTGGCCACAGGATGTCACTGTTATTCCAGACACCCATTACCAATTGAACAGTATCCTATATGTAATGGTGGCAGGCTGCTGTTGAAGACATAAGGGCTCAGCCTATGGAGCTAGAGTTTGTTCCAAGACATGATGCAAGAGTTGCTTTTGTAGCTTCAGTATTTAGGCATAAAATAGTTCATTACTTTTACTCCAAAAGTGAAAGTAAGTAACTTGAGGATGCTCAGTACGTGCTAGATATTTCCTGGTTTTTCCTCTGCTTCTAAAATTTGTGTTTGCACTGCGTGTGTGATTGTTTGCAGAAAAGGCTGAAGGAATATCAGTTTGATTTACATCAGGGTGTGTAGTTGGAAGCTGTTTTAATTGACAGCATAACAGTCTTTAGGAAGATGTTCTTTATCCCAAAAGATGTAATTAAATTAAAGTTATATAATCATAGAAAAACAGGGCTAAAGGGGACCTCCAGAGGTCATCTAGTCCAACCCCCTGCTTCAGCCAGGATTATTCCTATCAAAATTACCCCATACTAATCCTTGCCTAACCTATTCCTAAAACTACCCAGTCAGCCCTGTCATACAACTATGAGGCATATTGTGCAAAGACACCAAAATTACCCTAATCTGCCACAGGTGAAGCAGGGGAACAATGGCAGTCAGTGTCTTGTTGCTGTAAAGGCTGTTAAAATGTACTTGAGAGATCCAAAAAAGAGGGCTGTGTTCCCCACTACAGAGGAAGGCAAACCTCACAATAGCATGTACCAGTCTGATCATGGAGTAAAATTGTTTCCTGATCCTATGTGACGACTGGGCTGACCCTGAGCGGAGGAGGAAGACCCTTTAACCAGAAGCTTCTGGGCCCCAGCAGGAGCATTAGTACACCCCCGTTAAAATCCCTAGCCTTGGCTGCAGCCAACACCCAATACCTTTTGAGGAAGGTGGAAAAAAACTCCCAGACACATGTAGCAACAGGAAAGGAAAAAAATCCTTCCTTGCCCCACATGGCAACCAGCAAAGTGCAGGTGTGGGAAAAACCAAACCTACTACCCTCCACTCTGCTCTGCAGCATGGGGACAGCAAGTGTAGTTTTTAGACATCACACCTACAAAGACAGTAAAGCTCCTCTTTCTGTATCTTTTCCATAAATTTATCCCAGCTGCTTTAACTTCCTTTCATAACTAAGCCAGTTGTGGATGTATGCTACATTCCACTGCTTCTGGCAATGGTTCTCCCCAATATCCCCCTGCTTTAGGTGGCAGAGCTCTTTTTATGATCTCCTAACAATCTATCTGTTGCTCTTTACAGAGCTCCCAAGGCATAACTGCTCCTAGATCATCCCTGACAAATGCTTACCCAATATTGTCAAAACTTCCAATGATAGAGATGCCACAACTTCCCTAGGCAGTCTAACCTAACTTCTCCATGCCCTGTTTAAAACATGGAGCACACAGCACTCTAGATGAGTTCTAACCTGTGCTTAGTAAAGAGGCACTATCACCTCCCATGTCTTGCACCTAATGCTCCTACTCCTGCACCCCAAAACTGCGTTCACCTTTTGTGCAGCTACATCACACTGCTGACTTGTGTAGAGTGTGTGATCTACCACAAGTCCTAGATCCTTCTCCATAGTGCTGCCAGTTGTTACGCATCTTGTACTTGTGTTTTTGATGATTCTTCCCAAGGTGTTAGCACGTTGCATCTGTCAGCATTGAACTCCATCCTGTTGGCTTTAGCCCAGGTTTCCAATCTGTCAAGATCCTTCTGAATTGTGCTCCTGTCCTCCAGTGGACTTGCAGTTCTTCCCAGTTTTGTGTTATCTGTAAACTTGCTCAAAAAGCTCTCTATTCCAGGATCTAAATCATTAATAAACACAGGGCTGACCCCTGAGGGACTCCACCCAAATGCTTCTGCCATCCTGACATGGATCCATTTGCTCGCAGCTATTGAGCCAGTTGTCTATCCCCCTTGTAGTTTTGTCTAGCCCGCATTTCTCCAATTCCTTTATGAGAAGGTCACATGGGACTTGCCAAAAGCCTAACTGAACTCCAAATATACCATATCCACTGCATTTGTTTCATCCATCTAGCTGGTTGTTTTGTGTAAGGAAGTCAAGTTTCTTTGGTTCTGGAATGCTACAGTGTCACTGATACAGCAGAGTATTTCGTGTCCCACAGAGCAAATCCCACTGACTAACACTATGATGGTGTCTTGCTCCTGTGGGTTTGGTGGTATTTTAATGCTCCATTGTTGCATGTGTAAGTTCTACCCTTACCCTTTTTAATGATGCTATGAAAGATGAAATGTCCTCCCTCTCTCTGGTGCCATCTAGTTTTTCTACCCATCTGATGTGCACCAGTATTCTGGTCTGAGTCCTCTTCTTACGAGGATGATCTTGGTAAAATGACAGAGTTTTGTTAAAGATACTTTGAGGTTCCTTTGCTATGTGTTGTTTTTTTTAATTGAGAGAAGGTCCTGAGTTCTCTTTCTGACCATTACTCTGATCTCTCAAAGCCCCTGTGCTCTGCTGGCAACCCCTGAGGAGATGAAGCTGGAGGTTGCTTCCTCTGGAGCATGGCAGTTCTGGGCATTAGGCATCAGGGCTATTTCAATTAGAATCAGGGACCTTTAAAATAACCCAAATAACATTTCTTGTGTTCTAGACTCAAAAGTGGAATGCCTCAACCTAACCATAACAGAAGTTGTCAAGAGGCAAAACTCCAAATCAAAGAAAAGCTTCAATCAGGTAAATCAGATTGCTACATTTTTGTCCTCCCTTGTTTGGCAGTGAGAGGCTAGCCAGTAGCTTGCTTGGGAGAGGAAATGAATTTAGAGCCATGAAGCAGCCAGATCCCAACCCTTGAGCTTTGGTGCATTTACTTCAAGATGGGAGTGGAGACTTTGCTCTGTTTGCTAGCAGGGGTAGGGTGATCTCACATGTTCAACTTGCTAAGTGCAGTTAAAACTCAAGCAGACACAGGTTCAAGCAGTTTAGCATGTGTAAAGTACCCTCATGAAGTTGCAGAGTTATTCTCTTTTGAGTGAAGGTTATCTCCCACCAGGTGCTAACTTTAATAGATCACTACATTCCAATGACTTGCAACTGCTGCAAGTGAGGATGCTACAAAGCTCTTACTCAGCTATGGCCAGTATTTGTTATTAGGGCTGTGCAAAGCTTCGGGTGCTGATTCAATTTGGAGGAGATTCGGTCCAATTCGGTGGCCAAATCTCCAAATCCGAATCGAATCAGGGGACCAATAAAAAGGTCTGAATCAATTCAAAGCTCTCCAAATCTTTGGAAAAGATTAGAGGAAAACTGTAATAGACTGGTATCCTTAGAAAGGGATGACTGGATGGTGGATACAGCAGCATGCATTTGTAGTCTAGCTGATTGTAACTTTGGAGCAGGAGTGTAAAACTTGTGGCCTGTGGGCTGGATCTGGCCCCTGGAGGTAGGTCATTCAGCCCACTGGGCTTCTCATGGGCTGGATGACCCACCTCCATGAGCAAGATGTGGTCTGCAGGACTTGTTGCTATGCCTGCTGGAGCTACTGCATCAGGGAGTTTTGATCGTCTTTGACTAAAATTAGTGGCAAGGGAAGAGGGAGGGCAAGCAGGAGTAGTGTTAATCCCCTGGATTCTGGAGCTTCACTGAAGCAGTGGCTCCAGCAGCTTTATGGGTTAAAGCCACCACTAGTCACCCTGCTGCCAGAGGTGGTTCATCTGGCCTGCAAGAAGTCTCACAGTCTGTGCTGGGCCTGTGAGAAGCCCCATGGTCCAGGACCAGCTTGCAGGGCCAAATGAATGTCACACCGATGCGTTAGAGTAGTGAATATGGCCAGCAATGGCTCATGCGCACACAGAAGCACACGGTGAGTATCTTATGCTATGACAGCCTCCATTTTGACTTACTGCCCCAATTCAGGCCAAGTTCTGACATGGAAAGGTACAATATGCACTGAAAAGAATCCTAGCTGCTTTTCCAGGTGTCCAGCTACCCAAACCATGAAACCTAGCTGTGCTTGTTTGGCCACAAAGCATTGTCAACATACCATGTTATCTTTTTCTCTCTCATAGCAAATCAGTGTGTCCCAGATTAAAGTGGACAAAGTCCAGATCACTGGAATCAACTGTTCCTTTGCTGTGTGCCTGGACCAGGATGAGCGGAAAATCCTGCAGAGCGTAACCAGGTAGGAAACCAGCCCGCCCACAATAGGCCCATTCTGCATGTATGAAACCTGTCTCAGGCCACACATGTGCTTTGAGAAAGCCAGCCCCCTGAATCCCTGGACCGTATGGTTCAATCTTTTTTCAGGTCTTGGCCCCATTTATAGTCAGGTGACATCATGGTACAGGATATTTTGAATATTTGAACAGCGCATTTACTGCTGTTCGCATGTCCATAGTTAGCAAGGGGTTAGGCCCCAGGTCTGCTTTTATCCCACAAGGATTGTTGTATGGAGGCAACTTATCCCTCAGTGAAACAGAGCTGTTTCCCCATTTTAGCTTGTACTTTCCATGGGATAAGAACAAAGCCACAAACAATTACCACAGAGCAGCTGGGCTTTGGTACTTGCTCCCTGGTAATTGCAGGCACAAAAACTATTTGTGTACTGGCAGTTCTTCCTTAGCCAGTGAAACCTAAACTGGTGCAACTTACCCCTGTTTTATTCAAAGGTAAGCTACTCCAGTTCAGCTCTCATCATGGGGTCACTGAGGGTATGGGATTCATTAACACAGAGCAGATTAAGTGCAGAAAAGGCAGGCTTAGACAAATAAGGAGCTCTGTGGGACTAGAGCCCCACTGGGGGTCACAATCCCTAGTTTAGGGGACCACTATTCTAGATGAAAAAGTGCTGCTTAGGCTTTGCCCCTGTTTTGAATGTCTGGGGCCAAAACTCTAGAAAATATCCATTACAGGAATAGGGGATGACTTAAGTAGGAGTATGTGGCTCTGCACAGCACAGCTGAGCTGCAGGTCATAAGCCCATGTGGGAGTCACAATGCCACCTGGAT